AAATTTTTTGCACTTACAGCTATGCTTACAGGTACAAGTTCTACAAACTCTGAAAGTTTTATTCGATTCGCGTGAAGTCGATGTAGACTCTGGTGCACTCTTGAAAGAATAACCCTTGAGATAACTTATTTTAAGAGAAAATAAACACTGTCAGTCATTATGAGTATAAGTATGAGTACGTTTGAGATGAGATGAGTTGAGTTATAGATGTTATCAATGTGGGTCAGAGAGCTATGTTGTCTGACTCAATAGGTAGAGGAACTTTCTTGCCATAGCGAAGCAGTGTAGTACTAGGGAAGGCCTCTATGAATCGTTAGTCCCTACCGTCCATACGGCATACCTTCGGCCATTGCCCTACAAGTCCGCCTGTGGTACCTATGGCATTAACAAAGGATCTCTCGCTTCTCGCGCGCGCGCCTAAGCCAAAATGAGCCAAGCAAAGTCGAAATAAACAGTAATGTGAATAATTTTATTGAGTATAAAAAAACCATTTACACTTTTTTAACATTGTTAATTCTACGAATCGTTTCTTTAATATGAGGATGTGATGGCGGAAGTGTTTTCTGTTGAATAGCTAGCGCCTTTTCGAGAAATGAAAGTGCCTTGGAGTAATTGCCCATATTGTTACACACTTGGCCGATGTTGCCATATGAAATAGCCAAATTCGGATGATTTGGAGGCAGAGCTTTTTCTTCAATTTTAAGCGATTTTTCGTAAAATTCATGTGCTTTCCAGTAGTCACCCATGTTGTCATACACTTCACCGATGTTGTTGTAGGAATTAGCCAAATTGGAATAATTCGAAGGCTCAGCTTTTTCGTAGATTTTAAGTGCCTTTTCTAAGAATGAGAGTGCTTTCGAGTAGTCTCCTTTGACGGAATATGCCATACCGATGTTGTTGTAGGAAATAGCCAAATCGAGATGATTTGCAGGCAGAGCTTTTTCTTTTATTTTAAGTGCTTTTTCGTAAAATTCAAGTGCTTTCGCGTAGTCACCCATGTTCTTATACACGAGACCGATGTTGTTGTAGGAAACAGCCAAATCGGGATGATTCGGAGGCAGAGCTTTTTCGTCGATTTTAAGTGTTTTTTCGTAAAATTCAAGTGCTTTCGCGTAGTCACCCATGTTCTTATACACTCCACCGATGTTGTTGTAGGAAGTAGCCAAATCGGGATGATTTGGAGGCAGAGCATTTTCTCTTATTTTATGTGATTTTTCGTAAAATTCAAGTGCTTTCGAGTAGTTACCCATGTTGTCATACACCAAACCGATGTTGTTGTAGGAAGTAGCCAATAAGGGATGATTTGGAGGCAGAGCTTTTTCTCTTATTTTAAGTGCTTTTTCGTAAAATTCAAGTGCTTCCGAGTAGTCACCCATGTTGTCATACACTCCACCGATGTTGTTGCAGGATTGAACCAAATTTGGATGATTGGGAGGCAGAGCTTTTTCTCTTATTTTATGTGATTTTTCGTAAAATTCAAGTGCTTTCGAGTAGTCACCCATGTTGTCATACACTTCACCGATGTTGTTGTAGGAAGTAGCCAATGAGGGATGATTGGAAGGCTCAGCTTTTTCGTAGATTTTAAGTGCCTTTTCTAAGAATGAGAGTGCTTTCGAGTAGTCTCCTTTGACGGAATATGCCATACCGATGTTGTTGTAGGAACTAGCCAAATGAGGGTGATTCGAAGGCAGAGCTTTTTCGAGGATTTTAAGTGATTTTTCGTAAAATTCAAGTGCTTTCGAGTAGTCACCCATGTTGTTATACACTCCACCGATGTTGTTGTAGGAACTAGCCCAATGAGGGTGATTCGAAGGCAGAGCTTTTTCGAGGATTTTAAGTGATTTTTCGTGAAATTCAAGTGCTTTCGAGTAGTCACCCATGTTGTCATACACTCCACCGATGTTGTTATAGGAAGTAGCCAATAAGGGATGATTCGGAGGCAGAGCTTTTTCTCTTATTTTAAGTGATTTTTCGTAAAATTCAAGTGCTTTCGAGAAGGCACCCATACCATCATACACCGAAGCGATGTTGTTGTAGGAACTAGCCAAATCGGGATGATTTGGAGGCAGAGCTTTTTCGTAGATTTTATGTGATTTTTCGTAAAATTCAAGTGCTTTCGAGTAGTCACCCATTCTCTTATACACTCCACCGATGTTGTTATAGGAAGTAGCCAAATCGGGATGATTTGGAGGCAGAACTTTTTCTCTGATTTTATGTGCTTTTTCGTAAAATTCAAGTGCTTTCGAGTAGTTACCCATGTTGTTATACACGAGACCGATGTTGTTGTAGGAAGCAGCCACATCGGGATGATTTGGAGGCAGAGCTTTTTCGTAGATTTTAAGTGCTTTTTCGTAAAATTCAAGTGCTTTCGAGTAGTTACCCATGTTGTTATACACCGAAGCGATGTTGTTGTAGGAACTAGCCAAATCGGGATGATTCGGAGGCAGAGCTTTTTCTCTTATTTTATGTGATTTTTCGTAAAATTCAAGTGCTTTCGAGTAGTTACCCATGTTGTTATACATCATACTGATGTTGTTGTAGGAAGTAGCTAATGAAGGATGATCGGCTGGAAGAGTTTTTCGATCGATCTCGAGGGATTTTTCGTGAAATGATACTGCTTCGTCGTATAATCCTTGATGATGTTTCAGCACTGCAAGATTATTGTAAATTGTGGCTCTAGTATCGTCGCTGGATATTTGTTCGAGTAATGTGATATACAATTTCTCGGCCTTGCTATATTGTCCTATTTTTATTAGCAACATACCCAATCGTCCCAAACATGTCTCATGTAAATCTTCTCCTAGTATACTTTCTGTGAGTTGACGCAGTTGTTGGTCTTCATCCGATGTCAGTTTAAGATCTACTTGATAGAGTGAATTTTCATTGTCAAGTTTTCGAATTTCACCAATTCGAAAAACGGTGTGCATGGAAAAGAGGATTTCATTTTCTTCAGCAAAATAACTCAGTCCCCAGATAGAGGCAAATGGACTGGATAAGATGGTCGGATCTATTGACATTTGAAAAAGGATACCCACCATACTGGGTTTTCCTATGGCACCTCTGGCAAAACCGAGAGAGACAGCTCGATTTGTACTGGTGGATAAGAAATTATTGAAGGAAATAAGTCCACCTTTGTTCTTCTGGAGTTTGTCGAAGTCGACTGTGGATAATCCTTGTCCCCGAAAAACTTCAAAGATCTTTCCATGATAAAGACTGATCTGTTGTTTGTGTAAACTGTTGATTTGTCGGTGCAGATCAGCGAGAAAAAAACCCATTTTTATAATTGTCTCGCCATCGAGCGTTCGAAGAGACTGGTTGAGCATCTCGTAAAGAAAACACTCACGACTGTACCACCAAATTGCTGATTGATCACTATATTGAAGTTCGAACTCAGCGATATCTTTTGCTTTAGCTTTGTTATTCTTGTATTCGTTTCGCCAAAGTTGAATAAAATCCTTCTTGGCTTGTTCACCATGTTTCATATCAAGAAGAATTTCCTTGAATATTTGGGAGTACATGAATGAGGCTTCAAGCTGATTGAGATCTTTGCTGGAATCTTCTTCGTTTACACTGATAATGCTTACGGATATGTCATCTTTATTGCATTGCTTGACAGCTATTTGCAATGCATCGCAGATAAGCGGAATTTCTGTGTATGGACCCTTAACTTTGTTCCAATGACTATTCCAATCTTCTTGTGAAGCTTTGCTACTGCAATCGATGTAGATGCTATCAAGTTGAGGAATATCATGGATGAGGGGTATCATTTGTTGGCCTATAGTATCCGATACAATGAGAAATGCCTTTTGATTATCGACTTCAGTGAGAAAGTCAACACATTCATCACGTTGTGTAAAGATATAGACGTCATTGGCTATGCTTTGCAGTTGTTGGAGCGTATTTTGGTAATATTTATTTGCTGGATCAATGTTTTCATTGAGCCAGAGGATCAAATAATTTTGAGTGATGCGCCGCGTTGATCGCATGGTAAGCGATGGATCTGTTGTATTTGCATTGGTATCCATTGTTGATTTGGAAATATTTTGTTTTGATTTTTGTTCATTTATATTCATTGAGAATTGTCATTTGTTGGTGCATAGAGAATGGTGGATAGTTGTTTGTCGTTTAAACAGAGATCATTTCTTCTATTTATATAGTAGGTGCCTTCTGTTTTTTCTACGACATAAGATGTGGGTGTCTGTTTGTCGTCAACACTCAACGACAAATTTCACCGACTTTTAAGAGAAAATATGATTGTCAACAAAAAGAACGAAAGAGAAAAATATCGAACAGCATAATGGCTTGCATTACTATTCTTTCCAACTTTTGTTTGATTTTCATGTGTAACATGACTTAAGTGGCATTACGCTGGATACCTTGCCTCATACATCATTGTTTTTCAGGATGAATTTTTTGTTTTTCTGACAAGAACGAAAAAAGAAACAAAGACATCACTAGTTCGATTGCTTTCATTCTGCTTTTGATGGAAATCCTGATCGTGTGAACGAACAAGCAAGAAAAGTAAATTGAATTTTGAATGAAGTAACGATCGAAAGATATTTCTACTTACCAGATTTATTACTGTTAGTTAACGAGTGGTTCAAGTAAAGAATGCTGCACATTCAGGGTGGGCCAAAGGTCACTTCATCAAGAAGAAAAGCATGAATATCTCTGTCATACTTTGACCAAATGGACTGATGTTTACACTATTAATAAGGGAGTACTCATAATTGACATTCCTAGGAAAAATGCTAGAAAACACTGCTTTAAAATGTTACTATTAATATGAATATAAATCTGAAGTCTTTGATGAGTTATGAGAAAATAGTCTGGTCCATATGATCAAAAATAGTGAACAAGAGATATTTCCAATCAACGCTTCAATCAATTCTTACTTAGTGTTTCCTGAAACTTCTAATTATTAATAACTAGATATATTCAGTGAATAATTTACAAAAAGTTATTTATTTTTTCATATTCATCAAAGTATCGTGCAGATGCTCAAGTGTTTCTTCTCGATAAAATGACTTTTGACCCACTCTCTATTGTGCTTGATCATGAGAGATATGCATCACACTTGATTGTGGATGTCGGTGAAGTTCTCACTGTAAATACATCTTCAGTCTTGCCATAGTTAGAATAGTGCATTGTTGAGTTATACGTTGTGAACTGAAAGTTTTGAAACAATGTCTTCCTTTCTATTTTTTGGACCGATGAAAAGGTTCAGTCGAAATTTTATAGAGTTGACTAAGAATCAGAATTTTGTAAGTGAATCTGTGAAAAGATTAATAACAAATGTTCGACGATTTTCAATGCATTAAAATATTTTCAGGATAGAAGAGAAAAGTTAGTCTAGATTTTCTGAAGAAAAAAAGATTATGAAGATTTCTGAACAAAATAATATCTTGATGGAAAGTTTTCTGGAAGGTAACTATTAATAATGGCAGTTTTGGTAGGAGCGATCATGGCATATTCATAAGTCCTCGATTTAAAGATGTACAAAATGAGTTTAGGCATGTATGAAAGACTGCTATGAGCTTTTCGATTGTTAAATCAATTTGAAGAGAATCCTCTCGTTCTTTATTTTATTCAAAATTTTGAATTAACAAAATCGATATAGTTTGTTAGAATGATGCATAGAAACACACCATATTTAGAATGACAAATATCAATGAATTATAACTTTTTGATCTAATTAGTGCGAAAAATGATAGTAGGATAAAATAATTTCTGAGTAGTGTGTTTTATGATATTCTATGTTTGTAGCAAACAATAAAAGTTTCCCAACATATAGAAAAGATTCGAGCTATTTTACCAATATGACAAGGATAATAAGTGGTCAATAAAGTCATACGACTTACAGATTAGATCGCCTAATTCTAAAGAGTTTAATTTTATTTGTAAAAAAATTCTTTTGAGTTAATTCAGTTCGAATTATCTATGAAAATAGCCTCACTCAATATTTTGTATCATAGCGTAAATCTCTCAAGAAGTACTTAAAATTTTTACGACTTAAAAAAGTTTGTTATGTTAAATTTACTAGAGAAATATTGAGGTAAATCAAAAACATTAACTAAAAAGTTATAGAACAGACAATGTTCAAAACATCACACTAAAAAGAGAACAGAATCGCCTTTTTTTGCAGAAAGTCCTGTTGTTTTTCTCTGAAATGAAACTGATAAGAGAAAATGTTTTCTCATCAGTATGTTACTAGAAGAATCTTTCTACTTTTCGTTTAGTCAGCATGCCACCAGCTCTATCATTGGGAGATCTAGACTCACTTTTAGGTCACTCTATACAAAAACATACACATATCTGTCAAATAATGTTATCATTGGGTGAAGAAATAAAATTTCAATCAGTTATATTTTTGATAGAACATCAAATGCTTTGTTTTTTTTTTGTAATAAGTCTCTCATAATTCAAGGACAGTTGTGAGCTAATAAATAACTGAAATTGGATGTGACAGTGGAGCGCGCAAAAAGAAATCAAATTTTTTTAAAAATAATGATTCAAATCGTTTGATCAAAATAAAAGATTATTTTCTAGCTTTTGATTCGTTTTAATAAAAATTTGAAGTAATATTCAGTTGAAAAATCATTGATTTTTTCGTTGAGTGATTTTTGTTTAAATTCTAAAGATTATGTGACAAAAACGTCAAGAAGTAGACGAAGCTTTTTTTTATGATTTGAATTGTTTTTGTGAAAAAGTTCGCTTAGATCGATTGAAATCACATTTGTCATTTAATGGAGAAAATCATCGAACAAGTTTCGAATATAATATAGAGTCATCAAATGGATATTTTATTGAACACATCTGAAATTTCTTTATAAAAAAATTATGAAAAATAAATTGATGTCCATCTTTTGTTGTAAAAATTAAAAATTGTTCATCGATTGATCAATATGTAACTGAACAAATTGAACCAAAACATAATAACGGGCACGGCAGAATAAATGGCCACTTCAGTATTTTATCTTTAACTCTTTTTTTCTTTCATCCAAATGGCATGATTTTATCATAGAAAGATGCACCGTGAAATTCTCTACAAAGTGATCTATTTTATCTTGGCTAAATACCGTTCGTCGTACTTTAAATCGAAATGGTTTCACTTGAAAAAACGATGAGTACTTTCCAAAAATAGTTATTTTATAGTTTTTCCTAATATCGCTCTATTTGCCATATCTTAGTGACCTTTGTTAAAATAACATTTTAATTTCGATAGTTACCGATTCAACTCAAGTAGGAAAGCCTAGGTATCGCTGGAGTATCGGTAGACCCAGATTGCTTCTCAACTAAAAGAAACTATAAACGAAAGTTACTAAGATATGGCAAATAGAGCGATATTAGGAAAAACTATAAAATAACTATTTTTGGAAAGTACTCATCATTTTTCCAAGTGAAACCATTTCGATTTAAAGTACGACGAACGGTATTTAACCAAGATAAAATAGGTCACTTTGTAGAGAATTTCACGGTGCATCTTTCTATGATAAAATCATGTCTTTTG